CTATAAAAGTAAAAAAAAAATGTTTAAAAATTAAAAAGTATTCACTAAAAACAAAAAAAATACGAAAATTAAAAGAGTCAATTTTCAAAATACTTAATCCAAAAAACTCAAACCAAACACACTAATTCATATTCATAGTTTTTTTGTTTTAGAATGTCAATTATAAAGTTGCGTCATTTTGTATGAAATTTTATTTATATATTATTATTATTTAAATTAAAAATATAATTATTTGAGCTAACTCCAAGTTCGACCCCCCACTCCACCCTTTATCTCTTTTGTTATTTAATTGTTTAAAAATTTAAATTAAAAATTTGATTAGCTCACTACATTATTGATAATCAATTTTTTCATCAAATAGTTTTTAAAAATAGCTAATCTATTCCAAAACTTTATTTAACCAATTTAATTGGAAAAATTGATCTCTAGTGATTTATATTTTAATAAAGAGGTTGTTGAAAATTTAATGAAAGATTTGATTTATCCCTCTTTTAATGAAAAATTGATTTGATATAAGTTTGATGAATAGATTGAATCTTATTTTCACTAATATTAAATTTAAATTTAATGAAGGATTTGAGATGTTGTTTGCAAGTTATTTTTTAAAAATTAATTTCTAAGATATAGATTTTATAAAAAAAAAATTAATTCAATTTTTATTTGTTTATTTTATATGTTATGCTAAACAAGAAAAAAACTTCTTATTGTGGTTTAAAAGTATTAAAATATTACAATCATATCATTTTATACACTCCGTTTTACATATAAAAATAAAAAAGCAATTAATAAGTTTAATTGAAAAACAATACAATGAGTTTTATAGGTAGAATTTATAGAAAATTCTCTTTCAAGTACTTGTATCACAATTAATCTATAAGATATTCTTATGTTCTAATAAGTATTATCAATTTGGGAATATAGTTAAAAGCCACGTCACCTCACCTATTTTCAGTTACATTGCCTCTCTACTTTTTTATACATATATTTTTTTTCCAAAAAAAAGCCAAAAAAACTAAAAAACTAAAAAATCAGCTTTTAATCAATTTCCCAAAATAAGATCTACCAAGTTTTAATTAACATATTTAAAAGTATTTTATGGATAATTATACTTTTATAAATATTTTTTGAACCCTTCTTAGCAACTTGGTGATGTGAACATTCACATTAAATAAATTTGACATGGTAATGTTTTACGTTAATAATGTGAATGCTTATATCATAGAACATTCACATTGTTAATGTGAATATTAATGCGTGTTTCATCTTATTATTATTAGGGTATTTTGATAATCTATAAGATTATTAGAACATAAAAAAAAAATTTATACTAAGTGGAATATAAGTAGGTGAAGAGAAATTTATAAATAAATGTCGCTAATTATATTAAGTTCATTTAAAATTTTAATTCACATAATACTTAACTCATTTTTTATCAATAATTTATTAATCATGTAATTTAAAAAATAATATTGTCCTATCTTTTGCACTGAAATATAACTTTTTTCTTATTTCTTCTTATTTTGTTACATCAACTACATTAATTCTAATTTTTTTAACCTTATGCTTTCTTTTTTTGGATGGAATACCTTTTTTAGAAAATATTTTTCTTATTTTCTAATATTTAGTACAATGAAAAACAAAAGTCAGTGAAAACATTTTTTTATGATCAATAAAAAATAAGTTTGTTTGGACAAAAAAATATTTTCTATTTTTAAAAAGAAAAAATTATTTTTTGAACCAAAGGTGTCACCTCATTACTACCATTACCATCACTTTCACCAACATCACAGTCACAACCACTATTACCATTATTACCGACACCATCTCCACCTCCACAGTCATTACAACTTTCACTACCACTACCACTACCACCACTACTACTACTGCCGCACCATTACCACTGCCACCACCGCAACACTCTACCTTCATCTCTACTTTGTCACCGCTACTACCACTACCACTAATATAACTATTAGTATATTAATTTTAAGAACGCAACTAAATATAATAAAACATTTTGAGGGGTGGTTTGGAGTGATCTAAATAAGTGCACTTTTTGACTTTTTATGAAATATGGGTTAAGTATGGGTTGGGTTTGAAGTGATGTGATAGAAAGGTGATGTGACTTAAATAAGATGATGTGACTTAAATAGAATAGTGACCTTTAACTTTTTGACTTTTTTAGGTTATGACAAATAAGGCCTTATTGTAATTTGAACTTGTTATTTTTTGATTTCATAAAATATATATGGGTTCATTTGAAAATTGATTTAATTTTTTAACTTTTTGACTATTTTAACTTGAAATTAAAAACATGATTTAGAAAAAAAAATTGACCTTTCAAACATTTTATAAATAAAAAAACATAATAATTATAAATTAAATATGATATTTTATCTTCTTTAACTGGCTTGGTTTAGGATGTTCTAAATAAGTATACTTTTTGACTTTTTATAAAAGAAAAAATTAGTCTAGGGTCCCTCCCCCACTTTTCGTAATGAAAGAGATCCACAAAATTATTTTTTGATGTCTAAGGTCCCTAAACATATATCAGAGAAATTTGACTCTTTGTCTCTTCTCCTCTACTGCAGAGCAGCATTTCCTCTCTCTCTCTCTCTCTCTCTCCGAAACCCTAGAGAGAATAGATGGGCAATATCGATCGAAACCAGACACTCCAAGATCCAATTCTCTCCTCTCTCTTGACCTCCAGAGTTCTTGAATGGTATTTTTGCTGGCAAATCTGGAGGAGAATTGATGTCCTTCATTTTCAGACACCTTGGCTTGAAGACGAAGACATTGCGTGTACGAGTTTCCTGATGAATATCAGGATTAGGGGAGGAGGTATGGATGCTACAGTCTTCATAATCAGACTCCGACCCGTCTGCTTCTTCTTCTTCTTCAAATTGTTGTTGATGTTGTTGTTGATCATCAGTATTCAAACATATGTTATGCTTCGGGAACCTTTAAGCTGACCTGGGAGGAACCTGAATCGCTCATCAGTTCAGGCAAATTGGTGATTTATCGGGATGGACAACGGTACTAGACCAGTGGGCTTTTGTCATATCAAAATTTCCCGAACATGCCTATGTTGAATGGTCCTAATTCTGCATTCCATCACAACCTTCTTTTAGTATCAAACAAAGAAGAAAAGTATCTCACATACTCTGTTTATGATGAACCACTACTAATGTGGAAGTTGGAGCCAGAGGGCTATATTGTTGATAGTAGTAATCTTTTTATTACACCATATTTATTTTGTTATGGGTATCAATCGGGTAGTTATGATGGTTGTGTGAGCTATTTCGGGTTTTCCTCATGCCGGTGCAGGAAAGATACGTTCATGCAAAACAAGCAAGGTTTGAAGGAAATACTGTTAGCCAGCGCGACGATATTTCGGGCTTAAGCATTAGCGATTGTATGGAAAAGTGCTGGAACAATGGCACTTGTGTTGGGTTCACCACAAGCAATAGCAATGTTGGTCCAGAGAAATTCTCTGGGTTCCAAATTAAGCATTACAAGTTCCAAATTGTGAACTGAATTTTTTTTTTTCATTTGAACTGAATTTTTTCTAAGTTGAAACCAAAGAAATTCTCTAGTTTTTGAACTGAATTTTCTCTGGATTGGTTCAGAGAAATTCTTTGGTTTCGAGCTGGAACTTGGAATGCTTAATTTGTATAAAACCCAATGTTTATGAAATCAAATTTTGAAACCCACTTGTTGAGAAGGATAACAATATTGATGTTGTTCGATTTCATCTCTCATTCTCTCTAGAGAAATTCTCATCTAAAGAAATTCGGGAATTTCTCTGGAGAGAATTTCTCTGGAAAATGCCAGAGAAATTCCCATTATTTGATTGACACCAAGAGCGAAGGCAAGCAAAGCAGCAACCAGAGAAATTTCTCTCACAAAATTTCTCTCAATACCAAAGAAATTTCTCTCTATTTGCATTTTGACCAATTTTTTCTGGGTTTTCAAATTTCTTTGGATTCATTTTGACCAATTGAAGGCAGGGAGGGCAGAGAAAATTATCTATCAAAAGCTTCTTTTCTTCTTTTTTGTTTTTTTCATTCATTCGCCAAATCTCAATTGCATCCATAAATACCCTTACATTGGATGTGAGTTTACTTATGATTGTTTATTTTCCCTTCCTTTCTCAAATCAGAGAAATTTAAAAGTAGCTGTGAGAATTTCCCAAGCTACAAGTTTCTCAGTGGAATTTCACACAATTGTGAGAGATACTCTCAAAGCTTCTTTCAGAGAACCAGAACCAACAACAACGCTACATATATAAATCAGAGAATTAATTACAATTTTTTCTAGAGATGTAATTTTGTGAAAAGGCAGAGAAATTTCTCTGGGAAAGTGGGAAGTATATGGAAGGCAGAAAAATTTGGAGAAGGGAAGGGCAGAGAAATTTACAGTGGGAAGTTTAGGGAAGGTCAGAGAAATAAAGTCCAGAGAAATTCTTCCTAGAATTTCTTTGGACCAATTTTCTCTGTGACGTGAATTTTCTCTGAACCAATTTTCTCTGGATCAACTTTTGAGGGACCTTAGACATTTTAAAAATATTAGATGTCTTTTATGTTATAAAATTTTAATACGAGGGATCTTAAAAAAAAAATTCCTTTATAAAATATGGATTAGATTTATGTTAATTTTGAAGTGATATGATAAAAAAATAATATAACTTAAATAAAATGATATAATTTAAATGGAGTAATAATTTTTTACCTTTTAAATGCATGACAATAAGCTATGCAAAAATGATTTAGATCACTAATTAGTGGTGGCTTTAATAATATGGCAGTGGGTCTCACCCATTGCTACATATATGTTGTGTCTTATTTTTTATTTTATTTTTTTTCAATTATCACCTCACTAATGATGAGATTAGTAATGACAAATTAATGATTTATATAGCATTGCTCATAAGCTATGCATACAAACCCATACTTCCCAAACGACCTCTTTATACAGAAGTGAGGAGTATTTCACAAGTGTGTAAACGCTCCACGTGGGTGACCTAAAATCCTCAGGAACCTCTCTCTCTCTCTACTCTCTCTCTTTAAAGTGTTGATAGATATAGAAAGAGAGAGAGAGAGAGATACAAGACTTTGTGAAGAGAGAGAGAGAGAGACGATGGCGACGGCGTTTCCCGACGACTTCAAGTGTCCGATATCTCTAGAGATAATGTCAGACCCTGTCATCCTCTCTTCTGGTCACACCTTCGATCGCTCTTCAATCCAACGCTGGTTAGACTCCGGTCACCGTACTTGTCCAATTACCAAACTACCCCTCTCCGAGCCTCCTTCTCTCATCCCCAACCACGCTCTCCGAAGCTTAATTTCCCATTTTACCCTCGTCTCGCTCCCCAAACCTCACTCCTACCCTCAACCCCAAACCCTAATCTCCACCCTAACCTCCCCTTCTTCACCTCTTCACTCCAAGCTCAGCTCCCTCGACCAGCTCACCCGCCTCTCCAAGCGCGACTCTGCTCTCCGCCGCCGGCTCACCGAGTCAGGAGCCGTGTCGGCGGTCCTCAACTGTGTTGACTCGGACGACCCGACTTTGCAAGAAAAAGCCATGAATTTGCTCTTGAATTTGAGTTTGGATGATGACAACAAGGTAGGTTTGGTGGCGGAGGGCGCGATTGGCAGAGTTATCGCCGCCATGCGCGGCGGCGGGTCTTCGCCGGACTGCCGTGCCGTGGCGGCGACGATTCTGACGAGTTTGGCGGTTGTGGAGGTCAACAAAGCTACGATTGGGGCTTACCCGTATGCGATTCGAGCCCTAGTTTCGCTTCTCCGAGACGGTAATGCCCGAGAAGTTAAAGAGGCCGCGACCGCGCTCTACGCGATTTGCTCGTATCCGGATAATGGGAGACGGGCTGTGGATTGTGGGGTTATACCGATTTTGATTAGTATTGCCGGCTCGGGCCTCGAACGGGCCGTTGAGGTATTGGGTTTGCTGGCAAAATGTAAGGAAGGTAGAGAAGAGATGGTGAAATTCAATGGTTGTATTCAAATTTTGGTTCGTGTGTTGAGAAATGGGAGCTCCAGAGGGGTTCAATACGCGCTATTAACATTGAATTCGCTGTGCAATTATAATAAAGAGATGTGTTTGGAGGTTTTGAAAGAAGGGGTTTTTGAGTTTTGTGTTGGGTTGTTGGACGATGATAATGAAAAAATTAGGAGAAATGCTTCTAGTTTAATCCAAGTTCTTCGGAGGAAGCGGTCGATGGGTTGATGATGACTTTGAATTCAATTCAATTGAAATATGGAAGATTTTGGATGGAGATGGGAGTGAAAAAGACGGGCTTTATCAGTGAGATTGTTGATTATGTTGTCTTCCATCTTTGGAGGTGAGTTGGCTTCTTTTTTGTTTGATAGTTTCATTAGTTTCTGTACAAAAAGATTAGATTTTGGGTGGGGAGGGAGGAGGGTGGGTGGGTGAGTTGTTTTTTGTACCTTGTATATTTCAATAATGATACAGATATGAGCTCTCTGTTTCAGCTCTGTTTATGGGAATTCTGAAATTGTTTCTTTCAATTACTTATTTTTGTTAACAAACTTTCTCTGTGTTCAAGCAATTATGTGTTACATTTGTGGACTTGATCATGATCAAATGAAATAATTGTGAGTGCTTTTGAAGTAAAATTGATACAAAAGTGAAAATGTTCTATTTGGGTCAGTGTGAATTGTGTTTATCAGAATGAACATAACCATATTCAAATCCAGAATATAGGGAATTGTTAATCCTTGGAATGCATACTGATAATGATGCATTTTAGGAGTAGACATTAATTTTAGTACTCTGCATTCGTATATGTGATGTTGGGAATTTTTGTTTTTGAATGCTGTGCCCTCTATGATGGTTTAGAGAGAATCACTGGCTATTCTAGTAGTTTCTAAGCTGCTTTGTATGGTTACATTTTTGTAAAGTGTTGAATTAAGAATGATGCAGTTGAAACTTTAAGGAAAACCGGACATTCTTGAGTAACAGTTACATCTATTTGGTTGAGAACAACGTTCTAACAACTTGGAATGAGGAAAGAACAACACTAGCATATTTTCCTATTTTGAGTTTGTGAGTTGTTTTGTTTGTGTGCAAGGAAATTGATATGTTACTGATAATCTTGTAACATATGTCTTGCTTTTCGTGTGAGAAAGTGTTGATGGCGACAGTTTCCAGCATAAGATTTTAGTTGGAGAATTTGATCACTTAATGACATATTTGGCTTCTAGGAGGGCCATGATCATCACAAATAATCTCTGTAAGTAGTTTAGAATGTTTTGTAGCTATTTGCTAGATTATTTGACCTCTCCATAATTCTAGTAATCCATTTCTACAGCAAATCTATGAGAAGCCTTAACCTCCCAATTTTGGCCTTTGTGACGGTATTCAACTTTCTCATTTCAATTGTCAATTTTGTACGGTCTTACTTTTTTGTGTTGGGAGTTCATTTAGGTTGTGTTTGGTTCAAGAATTTAGGGAAGGATTTGGAAAAAGAAAGGGAAAGGGAAAGGGAAAGGGAAAGGGAAAAATATGGTAAAATATGAATAAAATATATCTTTTTTCTTTACTTTTCTAAATTTCTCTCCAAATCCATGAATCAAACACAGCCTTGATGTTAAAATCATTCCTTGTTAAATAAGAACTTGAGAAGAATTAGTCTAATAAGTGCGTAGGCCTCAAAATGTTAGCACGTTGGTCGTGCAAGAAGGAAACGGGTTAGGAACTATGTCACATGGATTCGGGTATACGTGTCGGGTATGGATATGTATTTAGAGGTCGAACTCATCAAATCATAAATTTAAGAGTATGTGGATTCGGTAAAAAAATATCATATTTTTTAATTTTTAATCTAGTATGTGAGATAAAATGATATTATATGTAACTTAATAGTATTAAAATGATATTTATAGCAATTATACAACAATATGTACATATAATAATTGTGTTATATACAATTATATAAGAAGTATCTATTGAAAAGTATTCGACACATATTCCATTCCTTTGTCCAAGTGTCGGGTGTTTGACATGAGTATTTGATTTATTTTAAAGAGTCAGTGTAATATAGGTTAGGAACTAAGAAACTAGTTTGAAATTTCAAAGTCTACATTTGCATTGTATATCAATTTACTCTTTAATTGTGAGGCTTGAACATGCGACCGTATCCATGTTCCATTGTTGTTGTTGCCATTCAGTTGACGCTGAAATGCATATTGTTGCCTGTCTAATTGATGGGTCTTGCATGACTTGCTTCTCATGAAAACTTGGTTCATTTTTAGCTTATGTATTGAGTATATTCTTAGGCCCTGATGGTGTGTAGCACATTCAAAGTTTGGTGATCCAACTTTCTGAAGTACAAAACTACTTGTAGTCCAATATCAAAATTTGGTTCGTCTATCCGCTGTCGAAACATTTAAAATATGATAAAAACAAACCGTGCACCAACCAATATGCATATGTGGATTCTACCGTTATATTGTATTAAATATATGCATAAATCTATTTTAATACAGTGACCTTGCTTAATGTCGTACGCTATTTTTAATAATTTTAGAAAATCTTTGGTAGTAGATTTGCACGCCTGCGATTCGATTCCTTTTAGCTTATTAACTATTTCAAAAACAAAAGGAAGCAGTTTTGTTCAAACATTGACTTTTTTTTAATAATCTCTTTAAACCCTAAATTTATCAAACTGTTGTAGGGATGATTATATTATGAGCAGTAGCTGCCGGCCTGCGAAAGCGATGTTATACATAAATAAAACTAGGGTTAAAGAGTGTTTATAATTTATTGTGATTGTTTATGACTTTGTGTTTTTCTGATTTTGATAGAGTTTTGGTTGATGGAAACTTCAAGGAATATACTTTGTATTGATTAATGCTGACCTTGTGTGTGGTTGCATCACAAAATTTTCATCGCAGGCTGCAGCAGTCCCTAAAGTAACTTCATAATTTTGTTTGCAAAGAAATTAGTGCTGCCCTACCTTGTTTTGTTGTCAAGTTAATTTGGTCCTTTATGTGATTTGTGAGTGATTATCCTATGGTCATAGATATTCGAGGTTTGTCCTGTACAAGTTGAGAAAAAATAGAAACTTGATTTATTTTTATTTTTTTTGTCACCTTACAACCAAATGGTAAAAGAGACTGGACAGTTGGTTTAGTGATTCATCTAAATTATAAATATATTCTTTGAGATTTGTTTAAAATACAGATGAGTTTCTATAGTTTAAAAAATTACAAATATCTTCTTTTTAGAATTTTTTATTTAACAGAATTAACTGGAAAAATAAAATTTATAATTGCTCTCTTATACAATAATAAAATTACTTAAATTATTAATTGAAATATGTTTTTAACACCATTAAAAACTGTTAATTGACTTAATGATTTATTAATAAAAGAGACAATTTGTAATGAAATTAGAAACTTCAGATGGTGAAATTTAATTTTCAAAATTATAGAAAGTGATTTGTATTTTAATAAAATTTCAGGAGATACATTTGTAATTTATCCTATAATTTATTAGCCCTAAAAAAGCACAACAAACAGTTGGGAGGGGGACGCACTCTTCTTACTTTTTCTTCCTTTTAAGCACCCAAGATGACTAAGCACTTTCCATTCTTCTACTCTCCTTGTTATCACTATCATTCCCTCATTTTTATTTTATTTTTTTATTTTGTTGTAGATTTCTCGAACTCAATTTGATGTTGGATTTGGATATAGGAGTGAGAAGATCAAAATATGCTAATTGCAATTAGTATTTAGATCTTGAATTTATAATGAGATTTTGATGTTGGATTTGGATATAGGAGTGAGAAGATTGAAAGATGCTAATTGCAATTAGTATTTATAGATCTTGAATTTATGGAGAGATTTTGATGTTGGATTTGAATTTAGGAGTGAGAAGATCCAAAGGTACTAATTGTAATTAGCATTTAGGTCTTAAATTTATTGAGAGATTTATCAAGAGAAAAGAAAAGGAGTGGAATAATAAATGAATTAGAAATTAATGTTCTTTATTCATTTTTCCTTTTTTTTTTTTTTTTTTTTTTTTTTTTTTTTTTTTTTTTTTTTTTTTTTTTTTTTTTTTGAGGAAATATTTTTCCTTTGTTGTTTCCTCACAAAATTCAAGCCCGAGCGAGAGAGAGTAAATTATTTATACATATTCATTTTTCTAAAGTAAATTGAATAAAAAATAGATTTTCTGAGAAATATAATTTTTTTTTTCTCCCTAAATCCAACCAAAAGAAGAAAAAAAAAGATTTTAATTATTTTGATTTTCTATTTTTCCCCTACTTTTTCTAAAATCAATTACAATGAAACTGAACTCAATTAGTTTTATTTATTTATTTTATATATAGTGCATATAGTTTTTCATGTAGAACTTTGAAACTGAAGTCAATTAGTTTTATTTATTTGTTAAATGTATAGTGCATGTAGTTTTTCATGTTGAACTTAGAAAATTAACAAGTTTTATAATATGTTTAAGTTTACTTGTTAATAAATTGATTTAAAATGAGTTTTAACAAGTCGAGTTCAAGTAATTCGTTAAATTTTTTTTCCTTTTTAAATTTTGTTTTTTTAATTAGGTTTTTTTTTTTTTTTTACTGCTTCTACAAGTAAGATAAGGATTAGGATTATGGACTTATGTCCCTTGGGCCTTGACCTTTTCCTAAAACCACAAAATAATAATATATAGAACTTTATATCTCACCAGATAAAAATAATTTAGATTGATTTTCTCTTGGAGTTTGAAGAAAATAAAATGAATTCAATATTTTGGCCTAATTACATTAACTTTTCTTCTAGTAAAGTTAAAGGGATCAGAATTAGTACAAATAATATGGAGATATAGGAATAGCTAAAAGAAAATATACACTTCAATATAAAAGAGATAAGAAATCTTTTTCATTTATATGACTAACAAATTATTGATGAATAAGAGATGATTATACCAAATGTATAAGCTTAGATTATACCAAATCTTTTTCTCCGTTTGGGAAGTGGGTTGATTTTTTGGCTTTTTGATTTTTTTGGCTATTTTAGCCTGGGCTAAAAAGCTTGGTTTGAGAAAGATTTTTTAGTTTTTTGACTTTTTTTACTTTTTTTGTGAAAGAAGAGTGTAATGATTATGGTTTGGATGTGATGTTTTGTTTGTTGTGGCTAAAATAGCCTATTTTATCTTTTGTGACTAAAATAGCCCCAAACCTCCTTGCCAAACGGAGGTATATTTTATTCAAACTTTAAGAAAGGCCAGTGTAAATTACTCCAAACTAAGGATTTC